TAAAAACCACCTATCAGTGCCCTAGCAACCATCAAGAACACCCTAGCAACCGCAGATACAACATCTCTCAGAGTGTTTATTTGAACTTTGAGATCTCATCACAAACAGCATGCCACTCTGAAGTCAGCAAGTCATTGTGTGCAAACATCTAAAAGTTCATCTTGAAACACTGCTCTGCACCTGTTGCCCTCTACATACGACACAGCCCAAAATCTCAACCAGTACCAAAGGGGTCAAAAGTCCAGACAATGTAGTGCTCAATAAGAAAGAAAAACCACTAAGCCGAGTGCAAATTTACACAAAGCACATCTTCTTCACCACTTTCCGCTCGGATAAGCAGCAAGGTACGGCATTCTATTGAATTCCCTCTTTAAATAGACTTAATCCTCTGCGCTGGCAGAGGTTCACAGAGCTCTCCTGCACTTTTAATTAGACGTACAGTGGCTGGTGATGGTAGCTGTGCTGGAGGAACCCAGTGTCCACATTCTTGAAGGAATATAATTAATCAGAATAGAGGAAGGCCTTTTGTACTACAGCATGGTTGAGTGTGACCTCTGCCCACACTGTGGCAGGAAACATTGCTATCGTTCCTCCCTGCAGGGAATACTAATGGTCTTTGTCATTATATAGATTCCTACTTTATTTCTTAGAGGGTTGCTATAGTGTTTTTTTCTCTCTAAAAGCCTCAGTTAGATGACCCTGAGTCATCAAACATATCAAACAGGAAAGCAATCTGAAATGCAGTTAGCTATGTGATGAGTCACCACTGAGAAGTGAGAGTGTTGTCATCTAACTATCATGAGTGATAATAACTGCATGCTTTGAAATCATAAATGGGTCATTGCTGTTCTGCAGTACAACTTAAACAATTTTTTATACCTAAAACATTAAAACATTTGAAACAGGATGGAATATTATAAACCAATTAATAACACAGACATCACAAAATATCATCAAATCTATTGGTAATATTTATATGGATGCTTATGCCAAACAAAAAAACTGGAATTTCAATAAGAAGGATGTCATAAACTGGCTTTACTTTTAAAGGAATATTACACAATAGGTGTTTTGAGGACACAGGAAAATAAATACAGTGGTGGCCAAAATGATTAGAACACTACTATTTTCACCAGCTAAAAAATGGTTTTAAGTCAGTTATTTCTATCTTTAGCTGTAGTGTGTCAGTAGGAAATATCAGTTTGCATTTCCAAGTATTAATTTTGCCATTAATTGTAATAATCCAGTGAGATTTTTGTTTGCACAAGGAGTCTGACAACAGCCAGTGCTCCACACAGAGATCTGATCTCATCATCATCCAGTCTGTCTGGAATTAAATGAAGAAACAGAACAAACTGAGACAGACTAAATCCAGAAGAACTGTGGCAACGTCTCCAAGATGCTTCAAGAGACCTACCTATATATAGAATAGTTCTTAATAAATTGACTTTAGGTAAAAATAAATAAAAATTAAATTCATTATAATTATATAACTACATTTTGTAATATATAACCCTCCAAATTAGGTAACTGATGATAGAATTGGAAAAAAAAAGTGTAATATTTCTTAATAAATTGCCAGTTTTCATGTTAGAAGCTATAGTGCCATTTACAAAATGGCAAAGCAACATAGTAAAAGAAAAGAAAAAAAAAGAAAAGAAAAGAAATACATACATACATACATACAAATGAACTCATCTGTGCACTTAATTGTGATACTGTGATTAAAGAAAATGGTAACACTTTATTTCATATTTACTTAGGTGTCCTTGTTTCACATGTTACATATACTTACTATTATAATAACAATAAATTATGCATAATTACATGCAAGTAACCCTAAACCAAACCCTAATCCTAACCATATAGTAAGTACAGGTAGTTAATTAATATCAGTAGCATACTTAAATGTATGATTAGACTGTAACAGGGACACCTTAAAATAAAGTGTAACCAAGAACATTAAGTAATATAATTGCCATTCAAAACAAATTAATAAATAAAAATAAAACAGCTTGCTTCCTAATCTAGTTGTCTATATTACAAATAGTGTTGGCTCTTTGTCAAATTGCTTTAATTCCTCTTGGATAAAATTGTTTCCTAAATGCATGAATGCAGTACAAATGTGCAGTAATATGAACATGTACCTCAGTAACAAAGATGAGGACATGAAAAGATACTGCATTGTAGGAATGACCTGGATGCTTTCCTTAATGAATACTGCAATACACAGCTGTGCCCTGCGCTCTATTTCTGGCAGGGCCACAGTGTAAGTGTGTTTACTGTATTGTTCTTAGGTCTTGTTATACAAGCTGCAGCACTCCAGAATACCCAATGACGTCATGCCAATTAGACGCTCCTCTGCGCTCACACAGACCCCCGGTGGTCGGACTGAGCTACTGCATGTATCAGGTGTGTTGCCTTAAACTAAGTTTCTGCCTAATTGCAGGAGTACGTGAGCTGTGAACATAATTTCCCATCTCTTGTAGGCAAGCTCTGAATCAATCATTTAATATAACCACACTCAATTTATTACAGAGATGTTCTGTGACAGACACGCTAGGCTATTATTAATGTGCGCGGGATGCAGAAATCAGCTGCTGTGCACCTGTGTCCCCAAATCATGGGGTCTTGAACAAAACACAAAAAAATGCAAATTAGCCTTTTGTTTACCCAAAGATGAGTTAATTTGGTGAGACGCTCATTACATGTCTTTCTGGCCAGTGTGGGTTTTGGAGCGAGTCGGATCCAGGACAGCTCGTTGAGCCAAGAGCCTGTCGAATAATGACCCTCCGCCATTGCAGCTTTTCACACAGAAGCAAGGCCACAGCAGGAGGAGCATAAAAGACCTGCAGGCTCCAAGCGAATTTACTGGCATCTGAGCTGGAGCCTTTCAGTTCTAAAAGACACACAATCCTGAATCTCATTCTAATTACATTGGATGTACTGCAGGTCCTTATATCTTAATCACCGGTGCAGTAATTGTCTCCAAATCAGCCTACTTATATTGTTTTACATCATAATATTCACAATAGAGTACAATCAAAGTGGAATGGACCATATTTTCTGCTTATAATAGCCCTCATGAGCTCTTTGAACATCTCAAAGAACCATACTTAACATTAGGTGTCAGCTTAATCATTAATGATGACTACTAATCTTATGAAAACTGATAATTACATGATGAAATTTAAATTCTGTCATCGTTTACTCACCTGTATGCTTTTTATTCTTCTGCTGAACCACAAGAAGATATTTTGAAGAATGTTGATAACCAAACAGTCTGGGTTCCCATTGACTTCCATTGTATTTTTTGTCCATATAATAGAAGTCAATGGAAACCAAAACTGTTTAGCTACCAACATTCTTTTGTCTTCCACAGAAGAAAGAAAATCATACAGGTTTGGAACGACATGAGGTTGGGTCATTTTTGGATGGACTATACCTTTAACTATAAAGTTTTAATAATGTCTAGAATGGGTTAAATAAACATATTAAAATTTTAGGACAAATAATAAATTACGGTAACACTTTAAGGTTTCATTTAGCAACTACATTAGTTAACATGAACCAACAATAAAAAACCTGAGCTAACATGAACTAACAATGAACAGTTGTTTATTTACTTTAACAAAGATGAATAAATACTGTACCAAATGTATTGCCCATTGTTAGTTAATGCATTCACTGCTCATTAACTGCTGTTAGTTAATGAATCTGCTCACATTAATGCATTAACTAACATTAACTAATGGGACCTTACTGTAAAGTGTTACCTCTATTACTAGTATTCCTTAAAGTCATATTTCAATTCGAGTTTATTTGTTTAGTGCTTTTCACAAGCAGCTTTACAGAAAAAGGAACACAATAATATCATTCAATAACTTGTTAATATCATTCAAATTAAAAAAGTGAAATGTCAAAGAAAAACATGCTAATCAACAGTAAAATCGACTCCATATCTCTGGCCTGCTGGTGCGTGCATGGCATGTTTTCAAAGAACAAAGAGCCCATGTGTGCCCACGACCCTCTGTTTCTAATGACACGCGTGTAAACTGATCGCGTCACGTAATCCTGAACACATACAAACTGCAGCTCCCCTCTCTGCACTGTAAAGCCTCGCCAGTGCACACAAAGCCCAGTATCTCGCACCAAAGAAAGAAGCTACTGTGACTGTGAGATGACACTGAGGCGAGAGAGGAAATCCGATGTAATAATGTATCATCGGTAAATAGACTGCAATACATTTTCCCTTCATATTTTGCCAGAGGAGCATTTGATAGTTGAACGAGAGCTGAATCTGCTCACATTATGCAGCCATGATTTGAAACACGTTTACTTTCATGATTAACGTAGCTTTGTTGGCATGTTAAAAAATGAAAAATAATGTTTATGCTTAGTTTTGAAATGTTTTTGATTAAAATAGTATGAAAAACCTTTTCCCCCTTTTTGCATATTATTTTATTATTAGTAGTAGTATTAAATATAATTACATTTTTAAGAAGATTTTTTCAAAGTCAGTGTGGCAAAACAAGTATGCATGACGCCATTTTGTTCTCACGTGACAAGAAAACCATACAACAGAGAAGACCCTTTTAGGCCCCCACCAATGTGTGTCAATATTATTAAGTTTTGTTGTTGTTGTTGTTGTTTTTTAATGCAATTAAAGTATTTTAACATTTCTAAAACATTTTTGAGTAACTGACTGAATCAAAATGTTGTTGAAAATGCATGCAACCAACATGCAAGGTTACTTTTCTAAGTATCAAGAACTTCTTCGAACACAACTGTGTTTGGAGTAAAATAACAAAAATAAAAAAAAACCTCTTGGACATGATTATGCGTCATTGACCCTTAGCATTAAGAAAGAAAGGGAAGATGTGTGATACGAATAAAGCGTAATCTCTCACTAACGAGCACTTCTCGGTGTGTTTGCCATCACAAAGCAGTGCCTGGTGTCATTCCACTGCAGTGAACAGTCGCTGGTCGTGCAGGAAGAAAACACGCTGTGGATCTGCTGCTCAGAAGCTTGGTTTGAAAAAGAGCCCCGCCCTCCTCCTGCCTCTCCTGGAGCCTTATAACCAGATGCCTGTTCTTCAGACTCACATACCCAAGAAACGCACCGGACTTGAGCACAGTTACGACCCCGGTGAGCAGACAGAAGGCAACCTGACGGAATATACGCAGTTCGCATTTGTTTGTTTTTGAGAACCGTCTTGGCTGAGCGAAGAAGACATGGATTTTCTGAACCACAACTACTTGAGCGCGCGCACGCCCTACGATTACACCTTCAATTTTTGGAATGACTATCTCGGCCTCTCCACGCTGGTCACCAAGAACAACCAGCACAGCGTCCCCCAGAGTCCCAACTCCATCACGGAGTCCCTGAAAGCCACACTGGGCTTGGACGACAGCCCTCCGTGCCCGTGCGTAATCGCGGCCGGCGGCGACGGCGACAGCGGAGGACACCTGGACTCCTGCTGCTGCCCCCCGCCCGCCCCCATCTCCATCCTGGACCTGAAGGAGCGCTTCTCCATCCTGAGCCCCTTCCAGAACCAGAACCAGGGAACGGGAGGGCTGCTGTCCTCCTCCCAGGAGCGGGAGATGGGCATCGGAGGGAGCTTCGCAGGATTTGATCTGTTCGGCGTGGAGAGGAAGATGAGGAAACCGGTGGCGCGCAATAAGCAGGAGCCCAAGATCTGCGTCTTCTGTCGGAATAACGGCGCGCCGGAGGAGGTGTACGGCTCGCACGTCCTGAAAACCCCGGATGGGAGGGTGGTGTGCCCGATCCTGCGGGCGTACACATGCCCCCTATGCAGTGCCAACGGGGACAACGCGCATACTATAAAATACTGCCCTCTCTCCAAAGACCAGCCTGCCCAGAGAGTGCTGAGGGGAGGCAGAGCTGTGGGTGGTAAGCGAGTGAAAATCTTCTAACTCCATCACGGAGTCCCTGAAAGCCACACTGGGCTTGGACGACAGCCCTCCGTGCCCGTGCGTAATCGCGGCCGGCGGCGACGGCGACAGCGGAGGACACCTGGACTCCTGCTGCTGCCCCCCGCCCGCCCCCATCTCCATCCTGGACCTGAAGGAGCGCTTCTCCATCCTGAGCCCCTTCCAGAACCAGAACCAGGGAACGGGAGGGCTGCTGTCCTCCTCCCAGGAGCGGGAGATGGGCATCGGAGGGAGCTTCGCAGGATTTGATCTGTTCGGCGTGGAGAGGAAGATGAGGAAACCGGTGGCGCGCAATAAGCAGGAGCCCAAGATCTGCGTCTTCTGTCGGAATAACGGCGCGCCGGAGGAGGTGTACGGCTCGCACGTCCTGAAAACCCCGGATGGGAGGGTGGTGTGCCCGATCCTGCGGGCGTACACATGCCCCCTATGCAGTGCCAACGGGGACAACGCGCATACTATAAAATACTGCCCTCTCTCCAAAGACCAGCCTGCCCAGAGAGTGCTGAGGGGAGGCAGAGCTGTGGGTGGTAAGCGAGTGAAAATCTTCTAAAAAGACTCCTATAGACTTACATGTATTGCACTGAACAATTTCTTTCAGATGACTGTTCTGATTGACTGGCTTTCCGAGACTTAACTACTAGGCAAACAAATAAGATGATATCAATGTTTTGTTAAACGAAAAAAAAAAATCTTATATTTTTATAGATACTTTATTTCCATAGTTTATTGCATACTTTATTCATGAAAAGCTTTTTTTTTTTCCTTTTCACGCATAGGTTTTAGATGTTTATTTACGATTCATAGTCACGTTTTGTGTGTTCAACTCAAGTATTTTCTTTACTGTAAGCTAAGCTTGCACCTCGTTTTTGTCTTTAAACCAAAGTTTATTTAGCCATTAAGCGATTTTAAAGAATGTTCCACATGTCTGCATTTATTAACTATAGTCCCATTCCGCTCTCTCTTGAAAGTCCACTCCGCAATTTCCTGACATTTGCCAGCACGGACGCTGAGCAACACAATAGAGGCTCTGTTGCGCGTTCATGTTGTCAGCATAACTTCATAATCGGCCAAATTATTTCCAACCCCACTAACAGAGCTGGGCATTTTACATTGCAGGGTCCATGTTACAGATGTTACATTACTAATATTAAGTACATTTCCAGCAGCTCCATAAAGCAGTGTTGCTTATTAGTGCGTAGCATGAACGCTGTAATGTAGTGTGACCGCAGGCTATTCTTCTGTATGAGGTGCCCTTTCAATGTTTACACCCCTAGTAAGGGGAACACACACTGGAGGGGGAAAAATATATATCCTATGGGTGCCTCTCTTCAGCTCCATACAAAGTTCACCTTCTCCAAAACATCCTGGGTGAGCAAAGGGGAAAGGGAGAGGTTTATGTCAAACAAACAAAGGGTCCACGGAGGAATATAGCACGTATGAATGTTCTTAATAAAAAAGCTTTTTGTAAAAACAATGTATTTGCCCCTTTTTGCAATTTGACACTTGCAGGACTGCACATTTCTGACAGTTATGTTTACCAAAGGAATTCAATTTTAATGAAGTAAGGAGCATAGATTTGCTGTATTGTAAATAATTACCGACAAATGGAAAATAATTAAGTGATGTCTATTCAGTATTTTACCATTTAAAAGTGACTTCAGAGGGAACTACCTCACCAAGATTTTGTACTTACATGTAAAATGTCAACAGCAGTTTATTAATATAGTGTACCATTTATAACAAGGGTTTCTAATAGTATTTTTGATCTTTGTATAACATAATTGTATTTTTTTTTCAGTGCATTCTACGAACGAAAGTAAAATTCCCAATAAGCTCTAAGCATTGTTTGCTAATAGGTGTTAGCAGCTGTACATAATATTAATGATGATGATGATATCATGCATTTTAAGTTGTTGTTCAATGTGATGTTCTTGGTTTGTGAGAGAGAGACTGAGAATCAAATGTTGAAGACATCAGCCAGTTTGCCACTTTTAACTGAGGTTTGTAATTAAATTAAAAGAGTAAAAAAAGAAACACTGTTGAATTTTCTTATTTATACTTTGGCACAATTTCCCTGTATGCTGCTGTGCAGAAATTAAAAACATGAATTCACTAGATAAATAAACAGCTTATGAAACCGTATAACTAGTGCTTTCATGTTGTCATCCCTGCTGATTGTGTTTAGCAGGCCTATGTGAGCCTGTGTCATTGTCACAATCAGTGTCTTTGTGAATCCCACCTCATTCCCATCACCACTCAATGCCTCTCTTCACCTACACAGGCCTTTCCTCTCTAAATGTTACAAAAATGAAAACAAAGAAAAGGAGAACAAAGGAGAAGTTTCTCTGATCATTTAAAAAACCCATGAAATGAGAACTGGGGTTTTGAAGCATCTATAATGCTAGTGTACTCCTACAGGCTGGAATATACTAGAAGACGTTTAAAATCTGAACAGATTTTCAAGCACTAGTCATCAAACACTTGCCATCTTTTGTAAATGGTTATCAGAAAATTGAGCATTGTACACTAAACAACTGAGGATCACACACTACCAGGCTTTCAAATTGTTCAGAACACAACAAACTCACAAAGTTGTATTCCAGTCTTAAAGGGATAGTTCACCCAAACATGAAAATTCTGTCGTTACTCAACCTCATGTCATTCCAAACCCGTGAGACCTTTGTTCATCTTCGGAACACAAATTAAGATATCTTTGATGAAATCTGAGAGCTTTCTGACCCTCCGTAGACAGCAACGCAACTTACACGTTCAAGTCCCAGAAAGCTAGTAAGGTATCTTCTCTTCCGTGCTGCTGATGCATTTGATGTGGGGTTTTTATAAAACTGCCAAAGTTTTTAATTTTAAAATCACAAAAGCACCTGAATCACGTCACCCTTGAGAGTGATGTCATCATGCAATCTCTGATCCTCTCAGAAAGGGGCGTCCATGAGAGGACAGAGGGCCTCTCTGTCAACAGGCCTGTCCATATCTTTCATTCCATCCCTCTTTCCCTTTTTCTCCTTTCTCGTCTCATTCAGACACACACACACAGCTGAGACACTTCATTAAAAATGGATAAATACAAAGTGCAATAGGGATTTATATTACAGCAGACAGTTGCAGAGAAGCCCGGTGGGTATGGCATCTCACACACACACACACACACACACGAATGTCTGGATAACAGCTTTTATTCCCCTGTTACTGCAGCCCATTTTCAATGCAGCAGGAGGATTTTCATAATTAAGTTAGTTCCACCATTTATACCGAGAGTCTCATATGATTTTAGCCAGAACAATGGAGAAGGAAAGATGTTTTTTATTACAACAGAGCCTTGAACTTGTTCCCCTTTGATTTATCTTCTAGACATGCATGGATTAATGGAAGGTTTTGCACTCATGTAATGTTTTTAATCTACTCCATGTATGTTATTTGAGACTTGAGACCACATACCGATCATCTTAACAAGTCAACGTAGCATTTCAACAACATTAAAATGATTAAACTCTATTAAACTTTATTGATCTGGCTGCATGTTTGATTCTTTCAATGTATATATATATATATATATATTATTATTATTATTATTATTAATATTCAACTATCAAAACAAGGCCTGATTTATTTTTACTCTCTTAGCTTCTGAAAACATTTAGCTCCAAACATTATTTGGACACTTAACTTACCCTTAAAAAGTATGCATGTAATTTCATTACATTAAAAATAAAACTGTATTTATCAATTTGCCATTTATTTTAAATAGAAATGTACAAGCTTTACAAAACATTTAAGGTAATGGAAAAAATGGAAGTAGCGACAATATTTTCTTTATTTTGATGTACATTTGAATGAAATGGATCATTTAAAAAAAAAAAAAAAAAAAAAAAGGAATTTGTTCCACTGGTCATTGTTTGGCTGGAGGCAGACCTGAATATGAGCTTGCAGTCAACTGTAAGAAAAGGAGCAGGGTTTAAGTCTAATAAATAACTGAAAATGTCTAATTTCACCAGAAGATTAAGATATTTTGATTAAAAATTAGGAGGTCTAAAAAAATGAAACACATGCATGGATAAATCGTACACAATGAAATGAATAACATGCATTTAGAAAATATATTTCATATAAAATTTAACAAAAAGGGTTTGTTGGAATAAAAAAAAACTGTAGACACACTGTTCAAAAACTGTTTAAAGCCAAAGAACTGATTTCACTCATGATAAGAAAAAAAAAGTCACATTGACACCAGTTGTTTATCTGTACAGTAATTGCAATTACATTTATTCTGAGAAACGCTCCAGAAGCATTTGTTTTGTTATCTAATGCAAAGACATTCATGCATTTTTAATTGCGGCTCCACATAAAAAGTCTCCAAATGCCTTTTGGAGCCATTGTAACTCTCACATTCAGTATTTCAGAATGCAAAGTAGTCTAACAGATGGGACGGTATCTATCACAGCAGTGTGAAGACAGTACCCTCAACCCCATAGTACAGTAAAAGGGAAGTGATGTGACCCCATTCACAAGGAACAACTTTGAAAAAGTCAGGTGTATTTCATACAAAACCAGCTTTGACAGGACCTCCTAACCTGGTGGAAGTGCAAGCGGTTGTACATGGTAATCAGGGGTGCGACTTCCGTGCTAACCGGGTCTGTCTGCATGGTATCCGGCCCTGCTTGAGCGTCCCGGGCTCTCTTGGCTGTGGGCCAGCCAGATGCACTCTGCCCTCCCCTTACCAAAAAGTAGTATATTTCAAGTTTATTTTATTAAGTATACTTAAGTAAAGTTCAAGTATATTTTTAAGTATACTTTATGTAGCAAGTATACAAATATCAGTGTACTAGTAGTATACTTGTAAGTGTACTATTTCAATACTCCTTGGGACTAAATTGGCCCACTTTCTAGTATATAAAAGTATACTTTTAAGTACTTAAGAATACTGATAGTTTTCTAATTAAATACTTGTAGTAGCATTTTTAGTACACTTTGAAGTAGTACTAAACTACTAGTTTAGTAGTTTTATACTGCAAGTATACTCGTAAGTTTTCTTTAAGTGAACTTTACATCATACTTTAAGTATACTACTATGTCCCTATTTAGGCATTAATTTCTATATATTTTGTTATATAAATATCTGAACATACAAAACACCAAAAGAAAGAACAGGGTATCTGCTTGTAAACAAAAACATTTTATTCAAGCTTCATGCATTCTTTTTTTAAACACTTGAATGTGGGTACGTTTCATAAATAAATAAAAAAAAGAAATAAACAACATTTTGAACAAAAAGCTGAAAAAAAAGACTATGAATTGGATTCAGAACGAGAATCAAAACGTAGATAGAGTCGATCAACACCCCAAAGCTTGACAGTTATTATTACCTCTTCATTGGTCGACATTACATCAACTTTACACAGTTTTGATGTTGTTTTATGTCTAATGATCGTATTAGATTACACGTGGAAGCATCTGTTGTTTCGGTTTCTTGTTCACTTGTGTTTTTTGAAAATTCTGTACAGAAAATGTGTACTAGCGCCCCCTACCGTATAACAATGAAAACACGGATTCTAGGCTTGTAAGTGTACTATTTCAATACTCCTTGGGACTAAATTGGCCCACTTTCTAGTATATAAAAGTATACTTTTAAGTACTTAAGAATACTGATAGTTTTCTAATTAAATACTTGTAGTAGCATTTTTAGTACACTTTGAAGTAGTACTAAACTACTAGTTTAGTAGTTTTATACTGCAAGTATACTCGTAAGTTCTGAGAAGTACATAAAAAAGTAGACTAAAAGTATACTTTCCTATTTTTTAGTTTAAAAGAAGTATACTAATAGCACACTTGAATAAACTTCTTTTTCGTAAGGGTCATACTGCACTGCTGTCTCCTGTCAAACGGAAACTTCCAGGGCTTTTGAACAGAATGGAAACATATGTCGGGATCACATGACCGCGCTCACTTCTGAGGCCTACAGCGGCTGCATATATGTGGCCAATGTTTCGGATCAGGTTTGGGGTCTCGCTCCAAGAATTTTTTGGGTGGATGAGCTTGGTTTTAAAGCTCGGTTCGAGCCAGTTTCTAGGGCACAGGGGTTAACTAGACTTCCTCTGCTTTTCTCTGAGATTAAAGCACATAGCTGTCATAACCTATTTCAGCAGCCACTGAGCTGAAGTTTTGCTATACGGTATAACACAATAACAGGAATTCTTCTTCAGGAGGAAAGGTCTCTGCGGTCTTTAAATCAGAATGCTTTAACTTGAACTCTTAAGTAACTAAAATGAGTTTTCCTCTCAGTGGC